TCACTCTCGGCTAACAGCCGGCAAGCAGAACAGTGGAGGCTGCCGACGAAGCACCGCTGGAGGTAGGTTGCTGGGTAAGCGAAGGATCAAGCGTGGTGGAGGGCGGCATTGTAGTCGCTGTAGAGATCGCTGCTCTGGACGGATGCTCCAGGGTCGACGTAGCTGAAGTAGAGGGCGTAGGGACCTGCATTGTTGAGGGCATGGGGTTGTTCAGGGATGCAATCTGTGGTGTGGTCGCAGTAGGTGAAGTAGGCTCGCCTTGGGACCGTTTCTCACTCGAGCCCTTGCTCCCACGCTTCCCCCCACTCTTCGTTGGGCACTCTGCTTGCCTGTGGGTTGTAGCCCCACACGTCCAGCATCTGGCCTTCTTGTCCTCCTTGCTGGCAAAGGCATGCGTGAACTTGCAATTGGCGCCGCGGCGGCACCCTTCGTCAGTGGACCAAAACTTGCATGGTGGTTGTAGCTTCTGTCCCTGGCCCTTCCCAGTCGGAGAGGTGGACGACGAAGGCGTCCTCGGATCCACGTTAGCACCCTTCAGCTTGGCGATCTGGTTGCCGAAGGGAATAACCTGCTGGAGCTCCGCGATAACGTGGTCCGCATACGTGAGCACTGCAGACAGGGCCGGCTTGTAGGGGAGCCCCAGCTCACTCTTGGCCATGTTCAACTTAAAGCTGATGTCCTTGTTGTTCTCCGTGAGGTTCTTGATGGCCGCCTCTAGCGTAACAAGGAGCACGCTTCCGTCGGGCAAGGAGACTCCCATTTCAGCTGCTCGGCCAATAAGCTTCTTCCACTTGTGGAGCGCGGCAATCATCTCCACAACGTTGTTCTGAGGCTGAATGTGCTCGATCTGCTTGATCAGGCTGGCCCTCTCACTCGCGCCTCCAGGGGCGTAGATTGTGAAGAGCTTGAAAAGGCAACTCTTGACCTTGTCGATCCGCAGCATGGTGATCTCCGCCTTGATCGAGGAATTCATTGTGGCCAAGAGCAGTGCCATCACTCGCCTTTCCAGGCGAACCCACTTTTCTCCATCCACCGCCTCATCGTTGCCGACAGTGATGGCGAGCCTCTTCAGCGGGGTCTCGGCCATGCCACCAACTGGTGGCCTTGTCCGTGATGGATCCGATCAACTGGCCCGCCTCGTAGATCCATTCCAAGAACATCACCGCACTGGAGTCCTGGTAGGGGTCCGGGAGGATGGGCAACGTGATGTTGCCCTTGAGAAGCTCGGGATCCTGAAAGTCCTTTTTGAGCTGCAACTGTTGCAACTGTTGGATGCCCTGGGCCAGCAGATCCATTGACGCCATCGGACTCTTGTCCTCCACGTTCTCCTGGCCACCAGTCCCTGCCCTCCCTAACGGAGCGGCTTCAGAAGCTCCCCTGGGCTTTCCTGCAACATCTTCACCGTTGCCACACTCGAGGTTAACACCTGACGGACTTGTGCCCCTGGAACGTGGAACATGCCCTTCTCGTTGACCCGCCTGATCACCAGGTTCTCGCCGCGAGGGTACCGGAAGACCAGGAGGAGCCCGGAGACGCTCGCCTCCGCTTTCATCTTCAGCGCGAAGATCCCCTCGCAGATGGGTGCCCTGGCCCCCAGCTTCCCCAAGGTTTGTCCTCACATCGCTTGGTACACCCTGGGTACTTCCGGCTGTAGACCTCGCTCCACCGCCTGCTCTCTCCGCGCCCGCATCAATCATCACCATCAGGAGCTGCTTCAGCTCCGCGTTCTCGTTCTGTAGCTCATTCACCTTTGTGTCGCGACCCTGCATTGCAAGCTGCACCGCCTTACGCACTTCCTCCTGGACGACCTCGGGTTGCAAGGATCCCGTCGACGACTGGTCACCATGGATCTCGCCGTGTCCGGGCTGCATTAACCTCGGTGGTTGTTGTTCGGGGCGAGGGTTCTCAGGAGTAGTAAAGGTCGGGGTAGCCAAGGACCAGGTTGGAGACTGAGAGTACCATGAGGTGGGAGAGGCCGTAGGGTGTGGACGCATACGGTCCAGACCACGTTGAACCATATTCCGAATCCTGGCAAACCAAACCATTTGGTCACCCGTCGCATCGGCAATCTCCCCCGCCTCCATTGTAGTCATGGACTCAACACCTTCAGAGCCCGTAGATCCGATGACCCTTGACGCCCGAGCATGCAAGGCCGCTACCAGAGCGCTCCTCTGCTCAGCCAGCTGATGCAAAGCCATCTCACTTCCACCGAGGACACCCGTGGTGGACACCTGCGCTGGGGCCGCTGCCGCCGTGGTCCTAGGTTGCCTTTGCGAACTAGTAGGTGCTTCCACTATCGGTGTGGGTGGGGTACTGATGTCGTAGTGCTGTGTCGTAGCTGCAGGGAGTGCTGGTGTATCTCGCTGCTGCTGCTGCAGTTGGTGATGGCCTTGTCTGCTACGGAGCCCCAAAGCCTCACCCTGAAACCTCCGTACGTTCGCGCCCGGTCCGGTTGCAGCGTTCTGTCCAGTCGTAGCGTTCGCGCCTGATCCGGATGCAGCGTCCTGTCCAGTCGTAGCGTTCGCGCTTGGTCCGGTTGCAGCGTCCTGTCCAGTCGTTGCGCTCGCGCCCGATCCGGTTTCACCAACCACACTGCACACTGTACCCTGGAAGGGAGCAGCTATTCCCAAACCACTGCCACGTGGTTGATCATCTGTATCATGCGAACCCGTCGGAACAGTCCTTCCTTCGGGTGGAAGTGGATCTTGAAAACCAACCACACCATTCAGAAGAGCCTGCCCTTCGGCCATAGTTCGATTCCCGCCGTGGTCCTCATGGGGAAACGGAGGGCCAGCTCCACCGGCATCCACTCCTCCATAAGTTGGCACACGGCCCGCCATGCTGTCTCGTAGCCCTCCAAGCGTGGTGCTTGGGCTCATAACCTGTGGAGCTTGCAGTTCCGGGTAGAGGTTAATCGTCAAGGATTGGAACGGGCAAAGCTGA